TCTAATTCAATCTCTTTGGCTTCAATGAGATCTTGTACTTTGTTCTTCAGAGCCCAACAGTTGTTAGTGTCATGGCCGGGACTCTCGGAGTGGTATGCACAACGAGCATTAGGATGATAGTGAGGAGATGTTGTGTTAGGATTCTTTGGAGCTTCTTTCAAGGTCACTAGGTTGGATCTTAACAGATGTGGCAATACCTGAGATAAGGTCATATTAATTCTGGTGAATTGTTTGACTGGTCTTTCCATCTTTGGTTGGTTGTTTCTTTGCTGATCAGGCGCAGGTTTAGGTATCATAATAGCTCGCACCATTGGACGGCGTTCGGTGCTATCTTGATTTCTATGAGGATATACAACAACCACTTCTTTCTTTCTGATGAATGGCTTCTTAACAGCAGTAGAGGATGCATCTTTTTGAATCTTTCCTCTTTTTATCCCGACTTCTACCCTTTCTCCGGTCAATAACAATTCAATGAAACCTACCGATGAACTCCCAATTAAGTGATTGAAGAAGGGACCAAACAAGGTGCCTAAGAACATATCAACTAACTCTCTTTCAGATAAAGGAGGTTGGACTCTCAGGTTTAAGAAGATTGAACAGGGGCAGTTGTTGTACCCCAAAATTTTCCCTCTCATTTCTCAAGATTTTTCTCACAAAATTCCTACTTGTTCAAGTTTGCACAAGTACAATTAAATCATATTGGATTTCTAAGCACCAGATCAAAGAGGAAACTATTGAAAGAGGAAAGGAGATAAATTTTATTTTTTTGACAAAATTGAAGAAAAACAATTTTGCTTCGATTCATACAAAGCTTTGACTGAATTCTCCTCTGCAAGCTAGCTTCGACTGGGCATTTGTTTCCCTTGAAACAACTTCCTTTGATTCAGAAGGTAAGGGCCTCCTAAAAGCCTCCTTCGATTCAGAAGTTAGTGGTTTCATGCTGGTCCCTTTTTGATCCAGAGGGAAATGGCTTTCTGAAAGTGCCCTTCGATTCATAAGGCAATAGCCTCCTACAACTTTCCTTCGATTCAGAAGCCATTGGCCCTTGCATGATTCTTTTGATTCACAAAGCCAGGACTTCCTTCAGGCCAGCAGGCACAAGGCAATGGCATCCTGTAGCTTTCCTTCGACTCAGAAGCCAATGGTCTTGCATATTTGTGAAATTCACAAGGCATAAATTTTCCTTCATACTAGCGCCCACAAAGCAAGGGACCTCATGTACATAAGCTTCAATTCCCTCTTGAAAACCTTCAACACGCATAGTCTCTACACTATGACATATCTGGGTGTCCCAATTGAAGGTTATACCTTGGTGGCCCGTCTGAATAATTTCAAGTGATGCACACAAGTGGTGCATGTGGTCCCTTCAAAAGGACACGTACATGTTTCAAATCGAAGGACACCCATTTGGACCCCTTCAAAGGATACACATATGAGCCATTCGAAGGACACTTTGATTTGGAAAGGAAACATTTTTGTCTGAAAAGGAGTTTGGTCGAAGGATAGGACCTGGGTGGTCAAAACAAAAAGTTGAAATATCCAAAGATGCTTGTTGGCCAGAGTCCTATGTGCTGCCAAGTATAAGACTGCTGCACTGGTCACAACACTCCAAAAATGCTACAAAGCATTCCTGCTACGCTGATCCCATATTTGCACCAAATTGGCATACAAAAACTGCACCTTAAAGGCTACAAAAACATTATACTCAATTTGTTCAAATTCTTTTGTTTTCGCTCCCAAATCTCAGCCAACTTCATCTATAAATAAGGGGGCTAGGCAACACATCCAAGGGGGTTTGGAGCAGAAAAAACTCTTGTTGTGAGGAAATGATCAAATTCTCAAAACTCTCAAACACTCTCAAACATTCTCAAACATTCTCAAACATTCCAAACTCTAAAACTCTCAGATCCCTTCATGCATTAGTGAATCCTTCTATTCACTCCCCAATTGCCAGATAACTAACCTTTGATTCATTCCCTAACTACAACACAATAGTCTTTTGATTCACTCCCTAGACTGTTATATAATAACCTTCGATTCACTCACCACTATCACACACCCTCCTTCGATTCAGTGACTGCCCAAATAAAGCAGCAATTAAACTAGCTTCAGGAAGGTTCCAGCGAAGCTCCATCCACCACCAAGGAAGTCACCTACAGCTCCTTCGATTATCACTTCAAGAGGTAAGTTTCCTCTAAACTTGGAACTTTTCATTTAAATATCATTTGTACATATAAATAAAAGGAAAATATAGATATCCCATCTAGGAAGTTGACCATGCCTTAACTTTCGATCCTCACTGCCTGTATGTTGAAAATCTCAACCCTGACTAGTTAGACTTTGGATTTTGGTGCCCAATAATCGTGTGCTAACCCCTGGCTTGTAGACTTCGAAAGTCACACTTGTTAGTTTCATTTTCAAGTTTTAGAAAGGTTTTCAGTATCCTTCGATTGGCTAGACATTGAAGCCTTTCGAATCTCAACTTGGGAGCTTTACATTCCTACAATCGAAGGAGGAAGCAAGGAGGTTGAAACAAAGAGTGTACACTCACGCTGACTTCCAGGCCAATCGAAAGAAGCAGAAAAAGGACGTAATCGAAGGGCATGCTAATACTGATTCTCATCCCCAATCGAAAGAAGCAAAAGAAGAGTGAATCGAAGGAGCCTACTGCCTGGATCGAAGGACTCACTTTTCTCTCTTTTTATGTTAGTTATGCTTGTCTTTATATTTTCTTGCTATTCAATATGGTTGTAATAGTGTAGGATATTTATTTTCTGCATTTTTATTGCTTTATACAGATGTTAGTAATTAGGATGTATGACAAGATAAAATCAACAAGACAACCCTAATCAAAGACTAAATGCATGCAATCAAACACACTTTACACACATGCACCTCTAGGATAATCTTACTTGTTGCCTCGGAAAATAGTCATGTCCCTCGAATATGGGCGTTTTAGCAAAGACCCTCGATAAAAGTAGTCCCTCGATGACCCTCGATGTTGCCTTCGGTAAACGATATAGTCCCTAACGAAATTGCTAAAATGTCCCATAGGTTGCCTTCTATGACTATACAAACGATCCACGCCCGTCCCTTCACATCCAATGATGGGGCTTCTTATCAAATGAATGGTAAGATATCAACATCTAAAAGGAGGAGGAAAAGAACATAGACCTTTTGAGTAGGTAGGATACTCGTAGTTGCTTGCTTGCTCACAACTAAAAAACCATTTCCACACCAATACTTTCTATTAATATTTTCAAAAGTCAAAGCTCTTTGTACGCATTCTTATAGAGACGAGAATCATTACAAATGCACTTTTCAAAATCACTTTCAAAAAAACATCTTCCACAATAAACACCTCTTTGAACTATTTTCAAAACCAACACTTTGTACGCATTCTTATAGAGACGAGAATCATTACAAAGATATTTTGCAAAATACTTTTAAAATACACCACAAGCACATTTTCAAACAAAAGCAAGTGATCTAGCAAGCAACTAAGAGCCCGTAGATAACTACAGATGAAAAAGGTGTTAATACATTCCCTTTTCATAACCTACCATCCCGAACTCAAGAAAACATCTCTAAAAGTCTTTCCTGTTCTTTTCACCATTTCCTATTTGGATAAAAGAAAAGTCGATGACGACTCTTGTTATCCGCAACAATTGCGATCAAACGCAAAACAACCAAGTCAGTTCTCCCACCGTATTATATTAATTTGCCTAAAAACCGTGAGAACACAAAAATAATATAGGAAATGTGGTGTGATGAAGGAAACCAATTTACTAATATTTCAAAGTAAATAACTGACTTTTGATATAAACCTGCAAAAGAAGATATGAGATTAGGCATTCTGATTACATAACATAAAATATGTTTAAAAATTCAGTACATGCGAACAAGAAAGTAGTAATTCTTGGAATAAATTAATTTCAACACCATTTGGTGAAAAAAGGTTGATTTCCTACAAAATAATTATTTTTAAATAATTAAGGATAAATAAAATCTATACGATTACAACAATCAATAAAATTTTACAAAATATCATATCTTATTTCACTCTTTATTCATTTAACATATTGAATATTTTCAACACTAATTAATCTATATCATTTTCAACAACTCATTCAATACTTTATTGTAATTATTTAACTATTAAATAATTTTTTAACACTTTCAATATAAATGGTGTTATATTTGTATAAATCCATACAACAACTCATTCCATTAGTTGTAGCGTCTCTCCATTTATATGAACCCATACCTTTTTGATATTCGAGATGGATGGAGACGCGAAAGAAACTAAATACAAGCACATACTACTGCGCCATACTTTGGATATACCCACAATTTACTAAACACGAAATTTGTACTTCTTACTTTTATATGCGACTAAACCCGAAATGTTTCCCTCTACTCCATCTTTCCTTTACCTCCAAGTTTTGTCCCTAAATTACCCTCGTCTCCTAAAAGTCCAAAAAAATCAATTTAATTATAACAACTGGGATTAACTAGGAATTTCTCAGAATAAGTGAATTGTAGACAATAAATTAAAAAAATAAATAAATTAGGAACAAAAACCAGATGCAAATTTGATAGGTGGGTAATTCAGAAACAAAAACGTAACTAACGTAGAGTTTATCGTGAACAAAACCAGGGCAGTGAAGTAACACCGGATACCAACTGAGCCGGTGACGGAGTTTTCATACTAATCCAATCAAATTCCTCCACGTCACCACTCCTTCCTTTAGCGCCACCCACGTGTCGACGGTCACCGTCAACTCACCTTCTTCCGTCAAATAACGTTACCAATATCGAAAAAATAAAATACAAAAACAAAAATAAACGTAACAAACCACGAAAAGACGTCGGTAATATTGATTCTCGCCGGCCAAATTTTAAAAATAAATAAATAAAACCCTAAAGTAGTTCTCTCTCTATAACTACTTTCTCTCTCTAGTTTTCTCGGTGAATCGGCGGTGTGGTTGTTCGTTGTTATGGACGACGACGATGAGATCCACTCCATTCCATCGCCGTTGAGCGGATCTCCGGCGTCATCAATTGGTCGGATTTCGGTGACGGTTGCGGCGCCTGCTCCGCAAACGCAAGAGCATCCGGTGGTGAACAGCTATGCATTAGCACTTCCGATTCAGAATCAAGCGAGAGGAAGCAACGGTGGAGGGAGGGAGGATTGCTGGAGCGAAGGCGCGACGGCGGTCCTGATCGAGGCGTGGGGAGAGAGGTATCTGGAATTGAGCAGAGGGAATCTGAAGCAAAAGCATTGGAAGGAGGTGGCGGAGATCGTTAACGGGAGAGAGGATTATTTGAAGGCGCCGAAAACTGATATCCAGTGCAAGAATCGGATCGATACGGTTAAGAAGAAGTATAAATCGGAGAAGGCTAAGATCGCCGCCGGTGGCGGCGTCGGAGTTAGTAAATGGCCGTTTTATGATCGGTTAGAATACCTGATCGGTCCAGGTCCAACCGCCAAGATCACCGGCGTCACAGGTGGCAGCACTTCCGGAAACAGTAAATTGCCACCGCAGAAAGTTCCGTTAGGAATTCCGGTAAATCTTCGCAGCGGTGGTGTTTCAAATCAGTTCAACTCTCAAAAGAAAAATCAGAAGCAACAGCAACAACAACAGCCACAGGTTCAGTTGAATTACCAGAAGGTTCAACTCCGACCTCGAGCTCATGCTATCGATTCGGATAATTCGTCGGAACGAGAAGCGTTATCACCAGTTTCGAGTGACAGTTTACCACCGGAGAGTCACGAGAGGAAGAGGGCGAAAGTGAATTCGACTGGTTGGGGAAGTGCTGTGAGAGAATTGACTCAGGCGATAGTGAAATTCGGTGAAGCTTATGAACAAGCGGAGACATCGAAGTTGCAGCAGATAGTGGAGATGGAGAAACAGAGGATGAAGTTTTCAAAGGATTTGGAGTTGCAGAGAATGCAGTTTTTCATGAAAACACAGTTGGAGATTTCACAGCTCAAGGTTGGAAGAAGAAAAAGTGTTAATGGTAATGGTAATGGTAACCCTAGCAATCATCATAACAACATCAATGAAAACATCAACAACAACAACCATAACAATAATAGTGACACCGAATGAGTGAGTGGTTATGATTAGGTTAAGGCTAGATTTAAATTTCAGTTCCAATTAGTCTTTCTATGGAGACTTGCGTATGTGTTTTAGTTATAATGGATTAAGATTGATCCATTAATTGTTACAGTTAACTTAGTGAGATGTTGTTGCCAAAGAGAGAATTAAAAAAAGAGTGTGTTGTGTTAAAATAATTTAGTGTATCAATGTAGCATATGTATCATTATGTGTAACATTGTTCTGTTGTTATTATCAGTATATCATTGTTGATAGGCTCTTTACTTTGATACAATGTACATATTGGATTTGGAAACTTATGTTTTCTAATTTAGCAAAATGTTGTGGCTTAAAGGATTGAATATTTTTGGGTGTTGTTAATCATGTCATGTTATATAACATTGCTATTTTAGGCTCTCGGTAGTGAGTATGTTTAGTTGAAATCATAATGTAGGTAGTTTCATGTTGAAATTGTATTAGTAAGCTCTGCATTGTGTTAAGTGAATGCGTTATGCCTTTATATTAGTTATACTTCTATAGTTCTATGGGAATTATGGGATTATAGGTCTTCACTGCATAAAGTTAATGATATCAATGAAGCTCATGTCATGCACCACCAAGAGGCTGGTTGAGTGAGTGTATGGTTTATAGTGACAACATAAGTCTTTCAAGGAGTAGTATTAAGGAAGAAAAATAAGTCAAATCAGAAGCAAAATGGCCTATAGAATCATTTCTTACAACATCACATCAGCGAGAGATCAAAGAAGAAGCTACTAATTGAATTGATTATAGCATTTGACTGGTTGGAATCATGGAACTATTTATCAATAATTCAATATTCATGCAAACAAAGCTGTCTCTACCGAGTTTGCTTTTTTAACCAATAAGGCTTAGCTTTTTTTTATTTATTTATCTGGATTCTCTCCTGTTTAATGTCTCATGCTCTTTATTTTGTTCAAATCCAAACTTTTAAAGGGATTTTCTTATTACACATTATATAGGGGACAAATCCTATGAAAATTCAAAATTGTCTATATTTTCGGAAGTATATTTTCGGACGTATCCTTCACATCGCACAAACGCGATCAAATGTGGTGCTATAGTGAAACTGAGAAAAGTTTCAAAGATATATCTCTGAAATTATAATATAATTAATTGATTCAGAGTCATTACAGAGATATGACTGGAGATGTATCTCTAGTAAATTAGTGGAAAATTGAAATTTCTGTCACCTTTGCAAGTCAGATATTTTCGGAGATGTATTTCCGAAAAAATCAAAAGTCAAATTGCTAAAAATAGCAACCAGCATAAATCAGCATGATCATCTTCATTTGCAATAGTTTCCTTAAACCCTCTCCAGAAATCCTTCCATTCTCAATCATGTTTTTCACTCTAAATCTTCATTCTTGTGTTTCATCATACCAAAAGGAGATAAAGGAAGTGAAATTTAAGGTAAAGTTCATTCATTTCAACCCTCATTTATTACATTAATCTGGTTTTTCAGTAAAAAAGATCACACTTATACCGGGAGTATATTTTTGAAAACGCAATGAACTTGTGTGGAGATACATTTCTGATATCTGTCTGTGCTGATTTTCCAGCAATTTTGTTATTGTTATGGATGTTTCTTAGTTTATATGTTTTTGTTTAAATTAGGTATGGTACATCTCGATTTTATCCCCAAATCTATCATGTCTCAAGTTGTTTCACCCCTCCTAATGAATGTGATAGATATTCAGAACTATTTTAAAAATAAACAAGAGTGCGAATTTCGTGATGACATGTTGCAGTGGATACGTACAGAGGCCACCAGACAGGGTTTGGTGTTGTGATCGGAAGGTCCGATAATGATTCTGAAAAAAGAAGTGCATTTGTGACATTGGGATGCGAAAGAAGTGGTAAATGTATACCTCGTATTCAAAATTTGAAACGAGATGAAATCGGTTCAAGAAAATGTGAATGTCCATTTAAGTTGTGTGGTTATTAGTTGGAAAATAATAAATGAAGATTTAATGTGATATGTGGTTTACATAATCATGATTTATATGCAAAATTAGACGGTCATTCAATTGCATGTCGGCTCTTGCCGGAAGAGAAAGAATGTGTTTCCGACATGACATTAAATTTGGTACCTCCCAAAAACATACTTGTAACCCGGAAATATTTCAAATTTCAAGCAAGTGTATAATAGGCGCTATCAATCCGCTTAGGGGGGATCGAACCAAAATGCAACACCTCTTGAAACTTCTAGATGATAACAATTCTAGGCACTAGAGATGTGAGAATGAAGTATATATATATATATATATATATATATATATTGGACTCATCATGATCCCATTAAATTGTTCAATATATTTTCCACTGTGCTTATAATTGATTTAACATATAAGACCAATAAATATAGGCTTCCATTGTTGGAAATGGTTGGTGTTACGTCTGCTGAGAAAACGTATTTTGTTGGTTTTGCATTTTTAGAGTGCGAAAAGAGGGAAATTTTGCACGGGCTTTAGAGGTTTGTCAATCAATGTTGAAGGACCAAGAAGATATGCCGAAAGTCATTGTTACCAATCGCGAAATCACATTAATGAATTCGGTTGCAATGATATTTCTGACTTCTTATGTATTATTTTGTAGGTATCACATTATTAAGAATGTGAGAAGTCGGGTTAAACCCATGGTAGGGACAAAATAGATAGAAGTCGAATTCAAGGCGGGCATTATTGTGGAAAAAATTATGGATGTATGAAATTTTATAATAAATGCATCTACAAAAAAAGCTATATGCTGATGTTTGTATACATTTTAGGAAGGTGTGCGTGAAATATTTCGATTTACTAAAATATGTCGAAAGCACAATTTTGGACCAGGTAAAGGAGAAGATTTTTTATGCTTGAATTGATCAGGTTATGCACCTTGGAAATACAACAACAAACCGAGTTGAGTCTACTCATGCTTGTTTGAAGAATTGGTTGGGAAATAGAAAGGGTGATTTGTGTGCGGATTGGGAATCTGTGAACCAAATGATATTAAACCAGAACAATGAGATACAAATATCATTTGGTCGTAGTATCACAGTTTTGGAACGCATGTTCAAAGACAACACTCTATATTCTTAGTTGGTCGACAACATATCTCGACCTGTTCTGAATTATATATTCCACGAAGTCAAACAAGCTGGTAATTTAGGTTCAAATAGCTTAAAGTGTGGTTGTACACTTGTTAGAAACTATGGTCTTCCATGTGCTTGTATTATATCTAAGAAGGTGAAACTTGATAGTCCGATATGAATGGACGAAGTCTGCAGTCATTGGAAGAGGTTCAGTTTTGATGATGACGATTTTACGAAAGACGTTAAGTCGAATATCTCCATCTTGACAGAATTGAAAGGGGTACAAGAAAGATTTTTGAAAGCTAGTGACAACACAAAACTTCACATCAAAGAGTAATTGAGGAAGATTGCATTTCCGGAGATCACAGACTTGAAACCACCCTCTTAATCGGTAAAAATAAAAGGAGCACCTAAGAAAGTCAAACATACATCAATTGAAAATTCAACAACGAGGATTCCATCATATTTTGAACATGTTGACAAAAAATTTCGTGATTCACCGACTCTGAAATCTCGGAAAATTGTTTTCAAAGGAGCCCGAATTAGCAAACCACCTTCTACACCGCCTCCATCAAAAATACCATTTATCGAGGAGATGTCGGTATTTATGCACAATTACATTGAACAAATCGTCAATGTCAGGGGTTACGGTAACTGTGGTTTTCGGGTTATGCCTGCTTTGCTCGGTAAAGGGGAAGCGGATCACATAATTGTCCGACATACCCTTATCAAAGAGTTGAGGAACAATAAAGAATTGTACACACGGGTGTTTGAGAATAAAGAGAAAGTTGAAGAATTTTATAACACTCTTGTATCTTGCATTAGTGGACCTGCACCGGAAGATAAATGGATGCGCTTCCCTAAGATGGATAATCTCATAGCAAATGCGTATTTGAGAGTATGTATTGATCTTACAAGATACGGTTTCTCAGAAACTTTTTTTCCACTGCGCACTACTCCACCACCAAATCCCTAAGATCATATCATCCGTGTTTGATGGGTTTCAAATTCGTGACATTTTCTTCAAGTTTATTTAAAACCGGAATGTCATATACCACTTACATCACCTGAGTGGTCAACTCATTATACAATCCAATTCGAGAATTGACCAAACTAATTTATTGAAAGGATGCAAGAGTACACCAAATTGAACAACATCGAAATAGAAAAAAAAATAAGGAAAAGTCAAAGGGGGTACCACCTGTAGATTTGACCGACGACAATTATTTCGGTTTATTTAAATAATTATTTATCATTTTATTGTATATGACATTTTGTTAATGTGTTATGCTGTCTAATATAAGTATTTTGTAATTTGACCAAAAAATTCAGCATTCTATACAAGTTTCTGTTTTTGTTATGTTTTTAATACCATTGAAGTTTTCGGAAGTACATCTCTGAAATAAACAAATAAAGAGTGTTTTCGGAGTTACATCTCCGGAACTTTCTCTGTCACAAGATAGGGTTGTGTGGTCTATATTAGCATTCCACTATTATAAATAAGCTCACTTGTCATATTGTTTAATACTAAAATACAAAAAAAAAAAAAACATAATGAACATCAAATGGCATGTTGGAAACTAGTTACATACATGTGGGTACGCACGACGTCTGGTCTGGTACGCGCATTTGTTTACATAATATATTTATTTTAAATAGAAGATTAAAAAAGAAAAAATAATATTTAGATCAATAATACATTTTTTCGTATATAAAAATATTTAAATCAATAATAAATTTATTCCCGTATACTATTTTTGATCATAAATATTTGAATAATAAATATCATTTTTCATATATTAAAATATTTAGATTAATAATCAATTTTTTACCGTATGTAAATATTATTTTTGTTTATGTATCGTTTATAAAAATATTTAGATCAATAGTAAATTTTCGT